TACGAATTGAACTCCACCCAAGCTTCCAGCGCCTAAGAAAGCTGGCAGAAGAGGCCCTGCCTTGTGCGTTTCCTCACAAGGGCCATAAAGGAGTAATCCCCTGCATCCTGGTTTTCATTTCAAAGAAGCTGGACAGGCAGTGGCCTTTGCTGCCTTGGCCAGTGAAATCCCTGCCAGGGCTGGCAGATCTGGGGGCGGGGGGTCGTGGCAGAGGGACAGCAATGGCTCTGTGCAGAGATTCTCGAGGCATCAGACCATGGGGTCATTCTCAGAAGGCACATTGACAAGTCGTGTGTCAGTAATGGGCTGCTGAGTTTGGAGGTCAGTTAAGTTCCAGCCTTGATGGCTTTTTGACAAATGGTCAGAAAAGCTGAACTACACCCCCATCCAGTTTGCACAGAAAGGATGTCTTTGCATTGAAAAGCCTGCATGGGAGCATGGTGTCATATCTGGGAGGGAAATTAAACCATAGGAAATAGCAATAGGCTGTGTTCCCACTATGTTCCCACTGCTGACAGTTCAGAAGTTCAACTCTGAGCTGATAAGGGGGAAATGCTTCTAGGGGTCAGTGGGTGCCTAGAGACCAGTGCCGGACATCAAATTAACCCCCCATCTGGGCAGATACATAGATGAAATCCCCATCGATTCCTTTGCACTGAAAGTCTGGTTTGTCAACCCAGTGTGCCGCCATCTGCTCTGGCTTGGCACTTGCTGGGAGGAGGCTGTACCTCTGCAAGCAGAAATCCAGGTTAGATTCCCAGATGGTGGCCTCCAGGACCAGTCGGGTTGCCCACCTCACTCAATAGCGCCTTCTCTGGGCACTAGTGGAAAATCACCTGGAAAGTAAATGGGCTGGCTCCTGCCCCATCTCCACCCCAACCCCAACCCCAGGGACCATAGCAGAACCAAGACTTGGAACACAGGCTAGAGAAACGAGGCTCTGGGGTGTTAGGCTTCATACCTGTCGATGTCCTGGGAGGTGCCAGTTTACTGGCAGAATTATTTTCTTCCTTAATCTAAAGGAAAGATGTTATGTATTCTTACCTGTGCAGAGGTATTTGGATTTCTTCAGGAGGGCGGTGGGGATCCTGGAAGGCTCCAGAATGAGGGACAGGTTTTTGAGATATTAAGGCGGCAGAAGCAGCAAGGCCCAGTGGTGGGTTGGAGGTGCGGGAGGAGGAGACGGCTAGTAGGGATGACTCAGAGTCTCTTGTGGGCACCCGGTGGATGCCCTGTTGCACTCAGAGAGCAGACAGTAAAGGAGCAAGATAAGAATTCCAAGGTTCAAGGGTTAGGCAGCCAGAATGAGAAAAATTGAAGATTATGGTCCTGTTTATCGCTGGGGAGATGTGGAGGCTTCACCTTACCAAAAGCACGTTGAGTAGAGCGCTGTCCCAACAGAAATGCAGAATTTATAGAAGAACGAGGCAGAGGACAACCCGGTCACGTGCTCTGTCTCATCATCTGCACAGTGATGAGCCCAGTGTTGCTGGTGGGTCTCCTCGGTAGCAGGAATTGATTTGGGGTCCTTATTAATTAATAAAGGAGTGAAGGGAACACTCCTGCATGCCTGCTTTTCCATCATGACTAGAACAAATAAATTTTCGTAAGGATTCTACTGAATGAAAGAAAAGGGATGCCTTTTCTCTTGTTTTTGTTTTGGTTTAGGGGTTTTCCTTCGTTTTTGAAATTCCTGTTCCCAGACATGACCTTGCCCCGGGCCCCTGTGGGAATTGGGAAAAGAAGACATGGAGGCAATGAGAGAGTGTAAAGGAAATATTTTCCGTGTTTAATAAGAATTGCTGAACAATGAGCTTATGTGGGACCGAGAAAAACTTAGGATTGATGCGAAGGAGGCTTTCTTCAGGAGCAGACGGGGTGGGGGGGGGGGAGCCTTCCCGCTGTGGTTTCAGGGGAGGCCTCCAGGAGTCCTTTTTCTGTCTTTGCATTTCTTCCCATCAAACCTCAGGCCCAAACAGACTTTCCTTAAATATCCTAGGGGTTGCTTAATTGTAGAAGGACAAGGTGCCCCAAAGGAGGAAGTCATTTCATTTCAGGAGCTCAAGAATGAAGAGATTAGTTTCCAGCCCCATTCAGCTTCTGGTAACCTCTGTAGCCTTGGGCAAGGCACTAAACTTTGTCCTGCCTCAGTTTCCCCATCTGTGAGATGGGGTAATACCTCCTGCGGTCCTGGGCATAAAGGTGGTGACATATGCAAACTGCTATTGCAGTACCTGGCACATAAGCAAGCCCTCAGTGAAAGTCAGCTGTGGTCCTCCCATACCACCACTGCCCGTCTCCCTCGCTAGAATAATCAGTTACTAGATGTCAGGAGTCTCTTAAAAGCAAAAGGCACACAGAAACATGATGCTATCCGTTGCTATTATTAACGATAGGTTCATAATTACTTTTGCCATGGTATTAAGTGAAAGCCCCTTTGGGTGGGTGAGGACTACGAAAATGGAGACTGGTATTAATGGAGCTGCCAGCTCCTGTTACTGGATCTATTGACATAATGTTTCTCTCTGGGAATCCTTTGACAAATCAGCTGAATTTCCTGTCCCCTTGCCCTAAGCACTGTAAATTTGATCCACATGTCTCCAGCGTCGTTTCTATAGTGGAGTAAGGGAGAGGAGGGGAGGAGCCGGGCTGAGCCAGGGCTCTGGCAGCTGTGGGCCCAACTGTGGGTTGCAGCTTGTCGTTGGGATGGCCTTCTCTTTTGTTTTACCCGCTCTTCCTAATGTGTTTGGTTACTCAGTGGTCAGGGAGAATTGCTGCTTGAGGAACAGGGCCTGGGCAGGAGGTTGGGGGAGACCTCGTCACATGCTCTTCCTCCTCCTCTAGGGAAACAAAGCTTTCCCTGGGAAACAACTGCTTTGATGCCATGTTTTGCAGGGTCAGCGCTGGCTCGGGTGGCAGGCCTGCTGTCATCTACAAGGGTTGAAGAGAGGCACATGGGGGCAGGCTTCGGTCACTTCAGCGTGAAGGAGGACAGGGAGGCCTGGCTCTGGGGAAGAGCAGATATGTATCAATCACTGAACCTACAGAATGGTGGAGGAAGACACCCCGGGGCCTGGGCTAGGGGAAGGCTGCCCTGCACCCAGAGAGAGAGACTCAAGGCTCAGTAGGGGGTGTCCATGGGTGGGAAGGGGCTGTCATCACACAAGACCCACCAGACGGGGTCAGCCAGTGGGGAGCCTGGGTGATGTGTTCATGTTCTAGTGTCATCCCGACCTGAATTTGAATCTTAGTTCCATTGCCTACCTGAGCGAGTTTTGGATGCTCTTCCAGTGTCAGTCCTTCGATTTTGAATATGGAGAATGAATGAGACAGATAAATAAAGCCTGTGTTCCCAAATAAAATAAAATAGCACCAGGATAGCCCTCGCTCTGAGCCATGTGCTGGTGCAGGAATTGACGACTGGTACTGTGGACTGGGGCTCTCGATGATGGCCTGAGGCATAGAGAGGCTAAGGAACCTTCCCGAGAGCACCCCACTGGTCAAGTGCCAGCCTAGAACTTCCACTCCAAGGCCCCGTGGTCCTGCTCTGCTGCAGCACCCGGTGCATCCTGGTCACATCACACGGGCTCAGGACAAGGGGTTCTAACCCAGACTTGGCCACAGCCCAGGGGCTGTCCAGTTATCTCAAGAAATTTTAGGAGGCTTTTCCCAAAGGTGACTAAATCTCTGTGGGTATTTTTCTTAAGGAAAAAAAAAATGGGGTGGAAGGTTGGGACAAAAAAATAGCACTGAGAGAGAAACAGCAGTTACCAGAAGTTGGGAATCCCAGGCTCTGATGGCAACTGGAATCTCTGTGGCCACATGCTTTAAAGAAGCAACATGTAATTTTAACAGGCTGATTGTGTTTTGTAGGTGCTTTCTTTTTTAAAAAAAAAAAATTTATTTATTCTAATTAATTATATATGACAGCAGAATGCAATTCAATTCATATTACACAAATGGAGCGCAATTTTTCATCTCTGGTTGAACACAGAGTCACACCATTCGTGTTTTCATACATGTACTTAGGGTAATGATGTCCGTCTCATTCTACCATCTTTCCTACCCACCTTCCCACAGCCACATCAATTGTTTATAGCAGCACAATTCACAATAGCTAAAATGTGGATCCAACCTAGATGCCCTTCAGTAGATGAATGGATAAAGAAAATGTGGCATATATACACAATGGAATATTACTCAGCATTAAAAGAGAATAAAATCACGGCATTTGCAGGTAAATAGTTGGAGTTGGAGAATATAATGCTAAATAAAGTGAGCCAATCCCAAAAAACCAAATGGCCAGTTGTCTTCTTTTTCTGGTGCTTTCTAAGAAGACACACAATGAGTTGGAGAGACTTGCATGTTGTCACCCCCTGGGATCTATCCTGACAGCTCTGCTCCCTGGCTGTTGAAGTGCTAATGAGAAACGCTAATTGGACTTGGCCAAGGGCTAGGATGAGTCCCCTTCTTGGAGTGGAGAGGGCAGTGTTCCTCTTCAGTGGCAGCTCCCAGCCCCATGTGGGCTTGAAGAAGAAAGGGGATAACTTGGGGAAATGAGAGGCCTCCGTGGGTGACACTGGCCTCTAGGTGGGCAGGAGAGCACCTCTGACTCAGCCACCCCTGAGCACCATGGAAACAAAACCGTCTCTGTCATCACACAACACTGAGGAGCACAATCCTGGGGCCAGTCAGGCCTGCGGTAGATACTCAGTGAGTGGCCTGGGAGCCTGCGTAGGCCAGGTCCTGGAGCAACTCCATCAAAGGCTGGTATCCAGCAGGTTAAAGCCACAGCCACGGTGGGCCACTTCTCATTCTGACCCCCTTAGTACCAGGCACAGCAAAAAGGCCCATGTCCTCAAGGCTCAGGGAGAGGTGCACCCTTCTGGCCCCTCTGCATCAGAGGAAGGGGATGGGGGCTGAGCCCCGCCATGGCGACCGAGGCCCCAGGAGCTTTCCTGCCTTCCCGAGTGTGACCTCTCCATCTTGCTTCCCCACAGGTGTCCTCTCCCTCCCCGCGTACTTCAGTCCCTACAATGGAGGGTCCCTGGGCCACGATGAGCGAGCCGATGCCTATGCCCAGCTGGAGCTCCGGACCCTGGAGCAGTCTCTCCTGGCCACCTGCGTGGGCAGCATCTCGGAGCTGAGTAAGTTGGCCTCGGCATCTGTACGGACTGCAGAGCAGGGGTCTGAGGGGGGGGGGCAAGGAAGGGTCCGCCATCTGGTTCTGGCCACTACCTCTAAACTCCATGTGCCCCCCTGAAAGCTAGATCCTCGTAGGCCTAAGGTGGCAGACTAGTGGCCCACGGACATGTAAGACTTGGTCAGCATGTGGACATAACCACACATAAAATCTGGACTTCTGGTTTCTCTTGAAATCTCTGATGTCCTAGTAGCCCTGCTCCCCAGCCCTGCCCGGAGCTAAGCCACAGTTGGTTGGGTGGCCTGGAGTCTCCCTGCTTTGCTACAGAACTGGCCTTCTTTGTTCATGTCACCTGCCTGACCTAAAAGCCTCCGAATTTACAACCAATACTGTTTCTAACGCTTCAGTATAGTAAACAGAAGGGAACAGTTGTGTCCCCCTGGCTGAAGGAGGGTGTGGTCCATGGCTCCTGCCCCCCGTCTGCCAGCTGCGGCATCTGCCAGGACCCCGGGGTTCTGTGGGACACAGTTGGGAATCCCAGGCTGTATCCTGCACTCTCCCTCTCCTTACCTACCCCACTTATTTAAGAAGTCAAACTGCATACTCTGCCTCCTTATTTCTCCCTTACCCTGTTGAGACCACCCAGTGGAGGATGGTGACACATCCCAAGGGTCACAGCATGGGAAACAAAGCTTCATTCTGTCCAGCCTTCCCTGTTTGTGAGGGTTTGTTTTAATTTGTTTTTAGTTTTTTGTTTTTTTGTGGTTTTTTGTTTGTTTGTTTGTTTGTTTTCTGGCCTCTGAACAGTGAAGGACAAGTCTTTCTGTTCCTCCACAATACTGCTTCCTCTATTCTTGCCACATCCCAGGACAGGAAATGAAGGTTCAAGGTCACAGAGGACTTCCAGCTTCCTGTCTCCTGACAGCTGACAGAGCTGGTGCTTGGTGGCCTGGGTCCCCTGCCCTAGAGGGACCCTAAAGGAAGTGGGCTCTGGGGTGAGGCTTGATCTCCACCCTGACAAATGTCTCCTGGACGGTGAGCTATCCTGGGCCACGCACAGTCTGTGTTCTGATGAGCTCTCCTGCCTGAGCACAGTGAGGTCTCTTAGACCTCCATGCATGAGAGAGCAGCTTGGGTTCCTTTAGCCACTGAATATTAATTGAGGGTTTAACCTGTGCAAGGCCCAACCTCTGCCACTGATCTCATTTACTCCTCAGAACAATTCAGTCAGGCTTGTCCTGATGGGAGAACTGAGGTTAGAGAAGAAAAGTGCTGTCCCCCCAGTCACAGGGACAGGGATCAGAGCTCGCCTCCCAAGGGGTCTGGCTTTCTGCGTGCTCAGCTGCTTATGGCTGTAGGCTTCCCAGTTGTGGCCAACAGCCTACATCTAGCATCTGACAGCCAAGGCCAAGATCAGGCTCTGGCACCCATTACAGTCCAAGCCAAGCACATGGGGGATACTCAGAAGCCTCCCCAGGGGGGACTAAGCTCTGTTGACTGTACCTTCTAAAACTATCCTGAGTTCTAGTCTGCCCCTTTCTACCACCTCTGCTGCTACCAACTCTGCCCAAGTTGAAGCCACTTAAAACATGCAACGGTCTATGTCACTCATCTGCTCAATATCTATCCTCTCCCCCGATGACTTCTCAGCACACTCATTAAAGCCCCAAATCATCACCATAGCCCACGAGCTGATGTATGATCTGGCTTCTTCCCCTGCCACTCTTCTCTCACGACCACACTACAGCCAATCAGCCTGGGTCAAGTGCCCTCCTTGTCCCCAGCCAACTTTCCACTCTGCCTGCCACATTGTCACCCAAACACCTGGGTCCTTCACTTTTTCAAGCCTCCACCCAAATGGCACTGTATAATTCAGCTCCCGCCCTCATCCCTCTGCTACCCTCTGTGGCTTTGGGGTTATGCTGACCACCACTTGACCCTCATATTTACTTATAAATAGCCATTCATCTCTCCTCTCTGACTAGAGTGTCAGCTCCATGAGGACTGAGACTTGTTCTCTTTGGTCCACTGCTTTGTCCCCAGTGCATAGAACAGTCCCTGGCACAGCGAACTTCACCTAAGGATTTATGTGTGTATTGGTGAGCATGCATTTGTGCACAGGTGTGCTCTAGAAGGAATGAGTTCTATCCTACCCAACTCCATCTCCTAAACCCCGGCGTGGTCCCCATCCCGGCCCCGCCACTGCTCAGGTCACTGCAGAGCATCTCTTCAGAGACAGGCTATGTCACGCACCATGTTCCCTCTGTCCCTCCCTCTGAAACTGGAAGTTTTACTAACCTGCTGTGGAGGAGGGAGGAGACAGAGGTAGAGGCAGATATTGTAATTTTTCTCTCTGAGACTAAAGAACTTAATGAGGCTAGTGATACTTGGCAACAAGCACCTTGGACCTTCAAGTTTACCCTGGTTTTTACATGCGTTAACTCTCTACCCCCTGCCAAGACCAGCCTGCCAGGTAGGTTAAGAGGTTTCATTCTTGTATAAGGTCCAGCTACACCGAGAACTCAGGTCCTAATGTTTTTGCTCTGTCCCTCTGTACCCATGAAAATTTTAAAGGGAAGGAATAAGAAATAAACAAAACGAAGCACTTCTTTTTTAAAGGCAGCCAGATGTTAAAGGCCTTATTTTTGAAGACAGTGCTAAATTCCAGACTCTCTCGCCTGCTGTTTTTATTTGATGGCTCATAATGAGGGTTGGAAAGACCAGAGTGAAACCCATAGCACCTCTAATCAAGTCTTTCATGGTTAACAAGGGCTGAGGGCTTGTTTTTCCCTGCCTGGTGGGTGTTTCTGGGCTTCAGACCAAGGTTTCATTGAGCCTAGGATCAATGGATTCTCAAGTACAAGGAAGCAGCCACCTGTGTTCCAGAAGGAGCCCAGCCCGGCAGGACCAGGGCTTCATAAACTAGCCCTGGGGAAGGGCCAAGGATGACATCCCCGCCATTCCCTTACAGATAGAAACTTAGTAAAGTACCATAAAAATGAATGTCTAGAAAAATGAAATAAGATAGACAAAACTATGACTATGTGAAATGCAAGCCCAATTTTTTCAGATTATTATTAGACATAAAATTACTCTTGTCAAATTGCTATGGGCTTTTTTTTTTTTAAATTCACTGTCCACTTCTGAAGTTAACTGGTGAACCAATAACAGTCTGGGGACCTGTTCCAATTCACAGACCACTTTCAGTAGTAGGGTACAGCCGTCTGGAGCACACGCATGGGAGGCTGATTCACATACTAGCTGTACAACCGGCACAGATCACCGACCCTCCGTGAGCTTGTTTCCTTCTCTGTGAAATGGAAATGCCTCTCTTCCAAGGTGGTTTTGAGATTAAATGAGAGTTTATCTGTCACACAGCCTAGAAAACAAAAGGTAGCCAAGGAGAAAAATCACCAGAGCAAGCTTCTGTCTTTGGCCGTAAATGGGCTACAGAACCGTGTAAGCTTTTGGTCTTAATGTTTGGCATCTAGTCTTTTTGGACTTGGAGAGAAAACCATTCATAGGGGGACTTGGATAGAAGAAGACGGGAACCTCCAGCTCCCGCCACCTTCACGGTCCTCCTAAAGCTTTGGGGAACCTCTTAGTTCCTGGCTTCCCTACTAGGAAGTCTTTAGGGACAGCTTCCTTTTCTTTTCCTGCAATCTGGCTAGAAATGTGCTGCCAAAGGGTTCTCCACCAATAACAATAAAACAACAATAAAAATAATTAATGATAATGACTTCTACCTTGTTGAGCCTTTGGAATGATATTTCAACAGCATGTCTCTTTGATGGTATCACAGACTCTGATTTCTCCCTCTTGTGGTCCTGTGGTCCTGCCAAATGTTATGACATTTAGACCTGGAGAAACAGGAGCCAGGTTTCAGCTTAGCCGTGCAACTGGCTGTGGGAGGCCAGTGGCCTGCTGGTTGGGATGCCGGTTTCTGCCACCCAGGAGCCTGAGGGCAGGGCTGGGATCTAGCAAGTCAGGGCTCAGGCTCCTCCCGTCCTGGGAATCATGGGGCAGTGTTTGGCCACAGGCAGTGGTCCTGGAAGGAAGAGCTCCTCGGGAGGTAACTGTAGAAAGAGGAATAATAGCAATTAATAAATAATGAATAATATTAGTGTTATATTCAACCTCCCCAAGCACTTACTCTGTGCCAAATGCAATGCGAAGTGTTTGACATTTATTATTTCTTTGAATCCTAGAAATTGGCAGAGTAGGTACTGTCATTTCCATTTTACCGATGAGGAAGCTGAGGCTCTCACAATTATACTAGGGCACACAGCCTGGGAGGAGCAGAGCCCTGATTTGAAGCCACACCTATCTGACTCTGGAATCTAGGCTCTGATCAGTTTTCTGAGGACTTTCAAACCTGACTAGACATTAGAATCATCCAGAGACCTTTCACAAACTACAAATGCTAGAGTCCTGCCCCAGACCCATACACTCAGTCTCTGGACACAAGCTGGGTGTCAGCACCTCGCTGCCCCCAGCTGTCGCAGTTTTGGGGTTTACCAGGAGCACCCCAGCAGCTAACTACAACTGCAGGATGAGCAGTGTGGGGAGAGTGGGGACCTGGAGGACTCTGGAGAGAGCTCTAATTCTATGAGTGTCACTCATACCTGTTTGGAAGCCAGACACCGTCCCTGTGCTTGTCCTGGGAAAATTTGGCAGTAAATAAGCTTAAGTCATGCCTTACCAGAGTTGTCTTTACAAATGAGATGCATGCACAAGGCTTTCTTTGTTCACTCTCCAAATGTTTGCCGAGCACCTAGTGTGCAGGAGACCCTGTGCAGGGCTCCCGGGATACTACAAAGCAGCTCCAGACTCCTAGAGCTGCATAATGAAGATTAATTGGATAAATGAATGGATTGGCTCTGCTGTACATTTAAAGAAACTTCACTTGTCAAATTATAACCTGTTCATGTCTGCCGCCCTAGGGTAAGCCATGTCCCAGGGCTTCCTATAGAAGGGTCTGTGAGGACCCACCATGGGAGGGGGACATGATGACCCCTAAGGGAAGCCCCCAGAGTTCTCAGGCCTGAGGAGAATGCAGCGGCGCCACTTTTCCAGAACAGAGGTGCCTGCAGGTGTCTGGGGCTATTTCAGCCCATCCTTTCTCAGCATTGTGACCTCAAACAATGATGGGACATTTCCTGTCCAGGGCTGGTGGGATGTTGAAAAGATTCAACTTGGACAGAAGCAACACAGGATATGGGGGCCTGGGACCCCACAGACTCCAATAGGGCAGGTTTCAGCCCAGTTCACAGTGAAGTTCATGGACTTTAGAGTCAAACAGACCTGGATTCAAATATAGACTCTTCTGTTCATTAGCCATGACCACAACTAGTTAAACCCCACCTATGCACCCCTCAGCTTCCCCGTGACCAGGAGAATGCATGGGGCCAGGGAATTTATTCATCAAATAAGCCTCAATTTCCTCATCTATAAAATGAGAATAAAACTTGACCCCTGAGCATCATAAGAATCAAATCATGTTTCTAGGGAACTGCACCCTTGGCACATAGTGGCACTTATTGGATGATGGTGGCCATTGGCATTGAGTGATCGAGGTCAAAGTACCTCTCTGCTCTGAAGTCCTGGGACTTTGCACATGACAGCATAGGGGAGAATTTCCACAGAGCTTGTCACTGGCTGTTGGAGGCTGGGAGGAGAGACCCAGGGAAATTCCCTTGGTCAAACAGCTAGGTAAAGGCCCCTGGGGTGGTGGAGAGAGTGGGGATGTTGAAAAAGAAACCACATTAGCATAAATTCTGGAGGAGACCAGCCCAGCCAAGTGTTTAACTAGCTGTTAAGGCAAGACTGGAAATGAAAGGGAAACTAAATTGCTATTGTGCATCTAGGTGACAGTTTCCACCTCCGCCTGTTGACTCTGGGGTAAATAGTGATTATGCAGGAAGGGAAAGGAGCTGGTTCTCTTAGCCACAAGCATCCCTGGGACATGTGGGCTGTGATCTCATTTTGTCTTGGGTTTCTCTCCCTCTCCCCCCCTCCCCAGGTGACCTGGTCTCTCGAGCCATGCACCACATGCAGGGGCGCCACCCCTTGTGTCCAGGCACCAGCCCCGCCCGCCAGGCCCGCCAGCCGCCGCAGCCCATCACCTGGTCCCCGGATGCCCTCCACACACTCTACTACTTCCTGCGGTGTCCACAGATGGAGTCCATGGAGAATCCCAACCTGGATCCCCCAAGAATGACCCTGAACAATGAACGGTAGGGATCATCCTTGGATGGACCTCCTAGTAGGATGTGTTTACAAATGTGCATTGGCCAACTGACTGACAGCTGACTGGCAAGGCAAGAAGGGCCCTGGAGCAGGCCACCTGACTGTGAGGAGGTGGCCTGGGAGTTTACAGGGGCTGCCTGGGATTCTTTTTTTTTTTTTAACCCCAGGGCAGTCACAGCATGGGGTCAGTGAAGCTCAGACCATGGGCTTTAGCCTCAGTGTTATATGTGCCACCTCTAGTACCCACTAGCTGGGCTCTCTGAAACTCAGTTGCTCCTTTAAGAACAAAATATTCTGCTTGGTGGCATATGCTTGTAATCTCAGTTAATTGGGAGGCTGAGGCAGGAGGATCACAAATTCAAGTTTGGGCAACTTACTAAGATTCTGTTTCAAAAAAAAAAAAAAAAAAAAACAGGGTGAGGATGCAGCTCAGAGGCATCTGAGGTACTGGGTGCCATATCCCAGTGCCATAAATGAATGAATGAATGAATGAATGAATGAATAAAATAAATAGATAGATAGATAGATAAAATGAGATCCTTCTCTCTACTTGAGGATTGGATGAGCTGATGCTTTAAGAAAAAGCACCCAGGACAGTGGCTCATTGGTAACTGGCTCTGACATTGGTACCGTCACCTCTTTTGATGCTGATGATGTCAAGCTGGTCATCATTTTTGTTAGGGATCTTGGGCACATTTTGCTCCATGTGCTCATTTTACAGATGAGAACATTGGGGCCCTGGAATTTCTTTCATCTCCATCAGATTTGTGCCTAAATAGGCCCAGCATCCAAGTCTGCTGTCTCCCTGCCAGTGCCGTCTCCACAAGGCCCCGGCCCTTTCCCAGCTGAGGTCAGGACCACTAAGAACAAACAGGTCGTGTATTGTACAAGGGTGACCCAGGAGGGCCATGTCGGCCTGAGGACAGGACGCCTTTTCTAATTGGTCCACTTAGATGGCTACCTGTTTTAAAATCCTCTCCCTAGAGGATATGCTTTTTGATAATTACCCTGAGTCCTATATGTGCTGGCATGAGTCTCATCTGGAAGCCACTACGTGGCCATTCAAGGCAGGATACCCCCAGGGGCTCGGAGGTTGTGTGCTTGATGGTCCAGGTAGCAGGGATGATAGCACTTGGCTTAGGAAACCCCGTCTGCATCCATTTCACCACACAGTAGGGCCCAGGCGAGGCCATGTGGAGGAAGGTGGCCTGCGACCTTGCCCCAGCTGCCCGTGGTCTTGGAGTGGCACTGCATGGCATCATCTGCTCCATAGCCAGGCACCTCTCCAATGAACAGAGAATATACAGGGGCCAAGGTCAGTTCCTGCTTCGCGGTTCATTAAAAATAGCCACTGGAAAAGTGGTGGCCAGCCTGTGGACAGACAGCAACACCAGAAGCTGGGAGTGCAGTGGTCTTGGAATCAGGTGGCCTGGCCACCAACAGTAGCTCTGGCATTCAGGGACCCTGGGGCCTTTATGCCAGGTTCCAAGCTTCCCCTGTGGTAAAGGAGGCAGGTGGGAGGGTTATCCAGAGATGGCAGCATTGATGGAGCTTTACCAGGTGCTAGCACTGTGTGGGGCACTTTACAGGTATGTACGCTACCAGGAAAGTCGTGCTCTTCATAGCCCCATTTTACAGATGAGTAAATGGAGGCATGGAGAGACTCAGTAACTGACCAAGGCCACACAGACCGTGCTCCTCATACCTCCACCTAACCATCTGTCACTGGGAGGCCACAAAGAACTGTGGCCTGGTAAGTGATATGTGCATGGTATATATTCCCAGTAAATGCTGCCGCACTATTATTACCAGTGTCATCATGATGCCGTCATCACTGTGTTTCTCTGGAAGTTGGAAAGTAAATGCAAGGTCGCAGAGGACACTCGGGGCCTGACATAGGATGAGAGGCTTCAGAAAGATCCAGGCATTCTGAAAGGAGCATCCAGTGGGAGGGGGAGCCAGAGCGCTCTGTGCTCCAGCTGTTTCTGCTTTGAGGCGACAGCCTTGTGGTCAGAGGAGTTGGCTGGGAAGGAGAGGGGCAAGGCAGACATCTGGGGAGCAGCAGAGGGGACTTGCTTGCTGTTTGGTAAGGTTCCCGAGGGTGCGAGGCCCAGATCCGGGCACCCACCCAAGCAAAGGTGGCTGGGAGAAGAGGACAAGAGCTCTCTCCAGGCCTACTGCCCAGGGCTGGGCCTCTTGGCCCTGAGGCCGTGACGTGGCTCTGTCTCTGTGTAGAAGCAGCTTCTGGCTTTCCCCCAGGAGTTCCCAGCCCCAGGGCTCTGACACACAGCCTCGGGTTTCTCTGCGGCTTATCTGCATGTGTTGTCACAGCTGAGCTCTGGTGGTAACACACACGTGTGTGTTTAGATGCCAAATTATCTAAAGCCACAGTCTGCGGCACAAGTCAACTGCTTGCAAAGGTATTTTTCCATGAATCATTTCAGTTGAGTATTAGGCTCAAGAGAAAATTGGAACCACCATTAGGGAGAAAAATTCTAATTTTTAAAATTTCAATACTAAAAGGAGGATATCCTAAAAATACCTGGATGATAGTGTCATCGAGAAGCAAGAAGGGAGAGACACATGGCTAGAGGTACAGGAATGAGGTACATGGGAGCTGAACCAGTCCTCTGCTTCAAGGGGCGCTGAAGGAGTGACAGCCAGGAAGAGCGGCCATGGTGGTGGGCCACCATCTGACCTGTCCTGCTTAAGCCCCAGCCTGTCCCAGTCCTGCATGATGACCCTCTATGGAGGGAGGCCTGGGGCCTGCCGTGTCCAGGACATAAGCTGGGAGAGCCCAGGCTGGGATGGAGCCTAGCGTCATGACTACCTGGTGTCATGACTCCAACTGAAGTAGGCCTGAGGAGGGAACTGCTGTCCCAAGGCCAGCCTTCAAACTGTACCCTACTGCTCCGTCGAACCTCCAGCCAGTCAGTAAAGCTGTCAAGGCCCAGGTTCTATGGACCGTTATCAGGAGTTCTCACTGTCACCCATGAGGTGAGGGGAGATGAGTGAGCACACTTTCAGAACTGTCCTGGGACACAAGCCTGCTAAGTATTCACTCCTATGATTATGAGCTGATTTATGTTAGACGGAGGAAGCCACATAGGCAGTGACCATGTGGCAAGAAGAAACAGGTACCCAGGAGAGGTAAGGGGCAGTGTGGCAGAGAATGAAGCTCCAGAGAGCCAGGATTTGAGGACCAAAGTGAGGAGAGTTCTGAGCTTGTGGCCAAGAAGGTCCCCTCTCCCACAGTCCAGCTCTTTCTCATGGCTGGGTTTTATTCCTCGCTCTTCCCTCTTCCAAGAGTGTGAGCCTCTCGGGGAAGGAGGCAGTAGAGGGTCCAGAAGCTCCTTGTCACTGTTTGCCTTGTGCTTGAGGGAGAGCCCCACCCAGACCCACCCAGACACGCGCCCATCGCAGTGTGATGTGGCCCTGCACCACCAGGCAGCTTCAGGAGGGACATGAAGCTGCTGTGATACTAATCTTAGTCCCCATTTCCCACAGAGTTCTTTTGCTGGGGCTCCTGGGGCACGCTCAGAAGTTGAGGTTGTGGTCCAGGTGAGATCCTGGGGGAAGATAAATGTATGTCTGGTCCACCTCTCAGCTGCCTTGATCCCTGTCATGCTAGCTAAGAAGTTTCCAGCAAGTATGTGAACAGAGTTTGGAAGCCTTGGAGGCAGTGTAGGTTTCACCCACTCTACCTGAAGCCCCTACCTGTGGCTTCGGAGGCCGCCCAGTGATGGAAGCTTCCACAAGGCCCTTGGGTCGTTCTAGGTGTGCTGTCTCCTAGCAGCATGACACTTCAGCTTGTCTTCCTGGGCCTCCATTTCCTCATCAGCAAAATAATGGCTACAGCAGGGTGGCTACTTTGGTTAAATGAGGCAATACAGAGCCTGACACTTTAGAAAGTGCCATCTTCCTCCTGTTATTATAATGATCATAAATAAATTTAGATGACCCATTTTACATTCGGAATAGCCTCTCTCTGCATTTATTTTCAAACTTTTTATTATGGAAAATTTCAAACATACATTGGATAAAGCAGTTATAATAGACACCTGTGTGTCTACTATCACCCACTTTCAACAGTTTTCAACTCACAGATAATCATCTCATTCAGCCATTTCCCAAACCTCAGGTTATTCTGCAATGAATGCTAACATCATATTTAGTTTATAAATATTTTAGTTTGTATTTTTAAAAGATAAAGGTTAAAAATGTAACCATTGTCACACCAGCACAAAATGAACACTAATTGCTTAATATTATCAACTCTCCAGACAGTGGTGTCTATGTATGATAGCATATATCCAGAAAGCAAGCACCAGAACTCATGTCCTTTGTAAATAAATATTTCAATATTTCACTAAAAGGTCAGAACAATTATCAGACCTCAAATAGAGAATAATGCTTATGAACATCAAATATCCATTCAATGCCCAAATTTTGCTGTATACCTCACTTTAAAATGTGGGTTTTGTTCAAATCAGAACTCTTGTTGTAAAGTTCATCTTTTTTCCACAGATTTGCATTGTCCAATCTGACTAATATCAAGCATCCATAGATATGTAGCTTTAGTGTGGCAGTTCTTAAAACGTGATTCTCAGGTGACATCTGGGTCAGTGAGACTACTACTTCCATTCTTCATACCACTACCAATAGTACTGCTGATATGACCACTACCATTAATAATAATGATTAATGATACAACTAGGAATAGCGTTACCACTATTATAAACACCATGACAACAGTGAGTCACAGCCACCATTAGAGAGCACACATTAAGGACAGACACACTGGAAGCGCTTTACTTATTAACTCATATTTCTCCCTGTACTTCTGTTGATCAGTGGAGAAGGGATAAATGAGAATTTTAAAGACTGGCTTCAGTGTTTGAGTCTGTAGCCTAATGAGGGCAAGAAAAACAAGAGAGAAATAAGAAGTGAGCAAAACCACAGCCCATGTAAAGAGGAAGCTCAGCTG